CGGGGCGAGCCGAGGGGGCGGGGCTGGCTTGTGGGCGGGGCCCGGGCCGGGAGTGGGGCGGGGCTCCTGGAGGCGTGCTGCAGCCACGTCCCGCGGTCCCCCAGCGAAGCCGACCCCCGGCTTGGAGATCCTCAGGGTGGCAGGCATGTCCGAGGTGAAGAGCCGGAAGAAGCCGGGGCCCAAGGGGGCTGCCGCCGAGCCCGAGAAGCGGAGCGATGGCAGGAAGAACCCCGAAGCACGCGGCGGCGCGGGCTGGGCGGACCCCCGCACCGGGCTCAGCCTGCTGTCGCTGGCGACGTGCCTGGGCCTGGCCTGGTAAGTGCTCGAGGCCGCAGGCCGTGGGTCGAGCCTCGCGTGGGCGCCCCGCTCTTCGCGCCAGCCCACTCTTGCTTGAATGCGCTCACTTAATTCTGTTCTGCTAGCATGCTCCTGTCGCTGCCCGCTAAAGTCTGGGAACGAGTCACCCCCGAGACTCGACCCACACTTTCTTCAGTGTCTACTATTCACACACGTCACAAGTTTGCACATAGCTAAAAACCGCTACTTCCTGTCCACTCTGCAGCTTTGCCGGTAAATTTGCCCCACCCTTCCTACCCCCTATCCCCCCAAAAAGAAAACCGCACAAAGGAAATGTCTGGAATCTAAAAAAAAAAAAAAAAAAAAAAAAGAGTTCGTTGTTGGTGAGCAACAAATGCTGATGCTTTCTCCTATTTCGAGCAGTGTACCTCCATTAAAACTATAGACCTTTTTTTAAGATTTATTTTTATTTACGTATATGAATGTGGCTGTGTGTATGTGCACTTGTGTGCAGGTGCGCAAGGAGCCCACAAGAGGGTGTCAGATCCCAGGAGCTGAGGTTACAAATGGTTGTAAGCCACCAGACATGCATGCCCGTAACAGTTGAGCCATGCTCCAACCCGGAGACTATAATCTTATTCCTAAATTACAGGTTGAACTGTATGTAGCACTGTAAAGAATACTTCTTTTCACTTCAGAGTAAGCATTCCTAGTTTTTAAACCAAGCATATATTGGTGATATACTAGTGTAATATGGAATAATCTTTAAGACCAATTTTATTTTCTTCCATGTTTCTTAGGAATAGCCTACTTCATCTTCATAACAAGACTGATACATTAATACATTTTTCATCACTGATAATTATTTAGTAAGAGAGCTAATAGAATTCAGAAGAGACTCCAAACTAGAATACTTTTGATGCTAGTACATTCCCTTTTAGTTTACTGGTGACATCCCAAGCCCTGGGGTTTTGGAGGTGTATGGTTGAGTAGTTGGTTTGGTTTATTTGAGGCAAGGTCTTAAGTAGCCTAGGCTAGACTGAAACTCAACTATGTAGCTGAAGATGACATTGAACCCCTGATCCTCCTGCCTCTACCTCCCAAGTGCTGGGTTACAGGCATTTGCCACCATACCCTGCTTGAATACTGAGTTGTTAGTTTGTTTGTTTGTTTTTTTTTTCAGTTAATAAAAACTTGTTAAAATGAAATGGGGATCGTTGTTCTCTTTAAAAGGAACTTTATTTAATGATGGTATTAGTATTTGTGGAATATATTAATTTTGATCTGAAAAAGAATAAATGTGTTGGATTTGCTGTTTTAAATAAACTACTCGTGCCTTAAAATGTGTGACCTTTTTTAGGTAAAGGGGGACATGGTACATTTTGGATTGGAAAAAAATATTACTGAGTTGGTTCACTCTAGGGTAGTGGTTCTCAACCCCGTTGGGGTCACATATCAGATATTTACATTACTATTCAGAACAGTTGCAAAATTACAGTTATGAAGTAGCAACAAAAATAATTTTATGGTTGGGGGGTCACCACAACATAAAGAACTATATTAAAGGGTCACGGCATTAGAAAAGTTGAGAACCTAGGGCTTAATAAAAGTGGTTTTAGCTGCTAAATTTATTAATGTAGTTCCCATTAATTAGAGAAAGCCTCATAATTCATGAAGTAAACTAGATCACAAAACATTCAGCTTTTCAGTAATTCTATTAGAGTTCAAAAAATTGTTCAATGAGGCCAGAAAATGGCTTATCTGATAAAGGCATTTGACCTGCAAAGCCAAAAGAGAGCCTGGATTCCATCACTCACACTCACACAGTGGAAGAGGAGAATTCTATTATAAAAGTTGTCCTCTGACCTCCACACATGCTCAATGAAAGACCTCTGACCCCACACATAAATAAAAATAGTAATAAGGTGGAGAGCGATTGAGAAAGGTAACCAACACCGACCTCTGACCTACACCTACACACACACACACACACACACTCAAGCTTCAAAAGGAAACTAAAAGAATCAAACTTGAGCCGGGCGGTGGTGGCGCACGCCTTTAATCCCAGCACTCGGGAGGCAGAGCCAGGCGGATCTCTGTCAGTTCGAGGCCAGCCTGGACTACCAAGTGAGTCCCAGGAGAGGCACAAAGCTACACAGAGAAACCCTGTCTTAAAAAAACAACAAAAAAAAAGAATCAAACTTGAAAAGGCATGCCTCATCTCAGCAGTTTAGTATTAGGGAATAGGTAGACAAAACATGTTACTGCTTAGAAAGATTTTTGTATAAGCTGAGCTCTGTCTTTGCAAAATGATTTTTTTTTAAATATCAAATCAAAATTATAAAGCTAGAGTATAGTTCAGTGTAAGGCATTTGTCTAATGTGCACGAGGCCTTAGGTTCTGTCCCCAGCATTACCCAAAAAAAAAAAAAAATTATACATTTTTTAAATGGGTGGAGCCTATGATTATTACAAAAACAGTTAATGGTTACTTGTTCTTGGAAAGTATTTTACCCCTAGACTGGAATACATTTATTTATTTATTTATTTATTTATTTATTTATTTATTTATATAAACTAGTTGCTGTTTTTAGCAAAATTTTTATGGTAAATTTGGGGACAAACTTTAACCTAGCAGGGTATTTGCAAGCATGTCTCAAATATTTCTCATCTCATAAAATTGCTAATGGCACACTGGAATTTTAACAGCCATTGATCTCTTTACATAACACATAGATAAGCATCTAACACATACTTCAGGATCTAGAAATTGGCCCACCAGATCTTTATTAAATACTCTACTTAGTCTATTCTGGTTGTTAAAACAAAATAAGTGTGTCATATATAAACTGCTTTTCCATCCCATACTTTGTATGATTAAGCTAATTAGGGGGCAAAGATCTCAAACCTTTGCACTGACGACAGTATATCTTCTGAAACCATTTAATGATTGGAAGCTTGTACTTGGGAAGTACAAACTACATAACAAACCTAAAAGTGTGTTACTTTCATCTTTCTCTTAAAAGTCTAGATTTATTTTCTGTCTTAGTTACTTTTCTGTTGACACAACAAAACACCATGACCAAGGCAACTTATAAAAGCATTTAATTCAGGGCTCGTGGTTCCAGAGGGTTAGTCCATGGCCATCATGGAGGGGAGCATGATGGCAAGCAGGCATGCTGCTGTAGCAGTACTGAAGTACTTAAATCTGATCCCCAGGCAAGAAGCAGAGACAGAGTGTGGGCTAACAGGGAAATGGAAAGGGCTTTGAAACCTCAAAGCTCACCCAGTGATACACCTCTTACAACAAGGCTGTAATCAGAGTTTTTCTTGGGCAGCCAGCTCACAAACAACGACATGGAGACTTCTTATTAATTATGAAAGCTTGGCTGTTAACTTAGGCTTGTTCCTAACCAGCTCTTATAACAAATTAACCCATTTATGTTAACTACGTAGCATTAGCTCTCTTCTTTCTTGCACCTCCTAGTTCCTCTCCATGTCTCCAGGTGTCTTCCTTTCTTCTTCCCAGAGTTCTCTCTGTCCCCAGAAGTCCCACCAAACCTCTTCCTGCCTGGCTGTTGGCAATTTTGCTCTTTATTAAACCAATCAGAAGGTGCCTTGGCAAAGACACATCTTCACAGTGTAAACAAATACTCCACATTTCCCCCTTTTTTTCTAAATAAAAAGAAAAGGGTTTTAACTCTAACATATTATAACTATATACAATAAGAACAATTATCAAGGGCTGGAGAGATGGCTCAGAGGTTAAGAGCACTGGCTGCTCTTCCAGAGTTCCTGAGTTCAATTCCCAGCAACCACTTGGTGGCTCACAACCATCTGTAATGAGATCTGGCATGCAGGCAGAACACTATAAAAAGAAAAAAAGAGAAAAAAACCTAATTATCAAGTAAGAATTACATTCACAATGTACTGTCCATTTGTATTTAGAAAATTTGGAGAAAGTACTCTATTATCTATCCTATCCTGGTGAGTCCAGAGTTTTATGCCTAAACCACTTTCTATCCTAACTTGTATTACCAACCTAAAAATATCTTTTTAGACCTCAAAACATTTTCTTAGATAAGCAGTTTAAGCTGTTATATCTTTCAACCTTATATGCTTTATGCCTCTTTTGTAAGTTTCTTTTCTGAATTTGGTAACAAGGAAAACTATAACTATCTAGTCTTCAACCCCATCAAAGATCCAAGAAGGAGGGCTGGAGAGATGGCTCAGTGGTTAAGAGCACCAACTGCTCTTCCAGAGGTCCTGAGTTCAATTCCCAGCAACCACACGGTGGCTCACAACCACTTGTAATGCGATCCAGTGCCCTCTTCTGGCCTGCAGGGACATATGCAGGCAGAGTACTGTATACATAATAAATAAATAAATCTAAAAAAAAAAGATCCAAGAAGGATATAATATTACCTGAATAATAGGAAATGTAGAGCAAGTAACTTCCAAAACTATAGAAAAGACAAAGACATCTAGCTCCCTAGACAGTCACTCAAGGTTCCTCTGCAATATTGTGACATCCATCTTCGGCCTACAGATCTAGACTATCTGATAGATTTTTCTGTGAAGCAGGAATTTTTAAGGACTATTCTACTTTGTCTTGGCAAAGTTTAGCAGTTGCTTTGTTTTGTGTCCTGTTTGTCCATTTTGGACAGCATACTGGAGTAGTCAAGGCAGGGACAATTTCTTGCCCAGTGGCTAACTCTGCCACAACAAAAGCAAATTCCATAAGGAGTTTCTTCAATGCCCATCATCCTTTTTTGAAGTAAATTGGTGCTGCCAGGAGGAGATGTGACTTGCTGTCCTGAAAAGCCTTAAGTTATTGAAACATCTTAAATGCCATATTCTGTAGGTCTCTGAAGTGTTTGAAGACCACCTATCTATCTAAAATATATCTCTGTTTAACCTTGAAAACATACCTAACATAACTACAAGTTTGATTATTATAGATAACTAACTACTAATCTGTATTTCTTAATTATACATTACATTTTCAAATGAGCTGCA